TAGTGGCATCATCATCCGGTCGCCGCCCGTCAACCACATCTTGGTTGGATCGTTCCCAATCTCTGTATACCCACCTCTGATCTCTTTGGAACATGCGATTCTGAGTATAGCGCTCCACTCTCTTTTTGTAACGTCTAATACGGTTTGCCCATGCATAAACTTTCTGCTTCAGGAAGTCGATGCGCTCTGTAACACGTGACAGGTATTCATGAGGACTGGTTTCAGTCCCCACAAATGCACGTCTTACAAAGCGCATCACTCTAGGGCGAGTATTGCCCTCCCTGAAGCAGGATAGTTTGCCAATGAGTACCCTGGCCTCACTGATACGACGCTCTATCCTATACTGCCAGGCAGGTACTGCTGGTTTTGGTCGGACTGCTGCGTCAAGATTTGGGAATCTGACGTTAGCCACTCGACAAGCAGCTACCGCCCCACAGTACAAGATTGAGTGTGTATCATAGAGGTTTTCGCTACTCTCAAAATATTTTTTAAGTAGCGAATCCAAGGCACTCACCAGCGCCCTATTTTTTCTACACATGGGCAAACGTGGTAATTTCGGTCTTAAATTACTAGGAGCAAGTCTGTACTCACGAACCGCATCCTCCAAAGCACTCCTCAGTCGTTCATTGCACTGAGTACTCACTTGTTCAACCCTGTCATCCTCCACTCCAACGATAGGGGTGGTTGCCGTCACACATTGTGACACTACAAATGTTTGTGCCACCGATTGTGGTGGTGCGGGGACGACACGATTGCGCAGTGCTTCTAGACGTAGCCGATCAAGCGCAGCCTCATCCAATCTGCGATTGCGTTGGATGACCCGCACCTGATCCGACAGTCGTTGGGCCGAGACGCTGATAGATGGCTCAAGAACCTGAAACATAGACAGCATCCTTTCACGGTACGCAGTGAGGTTAGTCCCTCCCTCTGTAGCACCGTAGTACGAGCGCATGACGTTCTCATTTATGGTTTGAGACCATTTCATGCGCCGCACACAACCACCGGTAGCGGGGACCCGTCCCGGGGCCTGTTGGCCCCTGGCTCCCAAGCCCGTCGGTGGCCGGCCTCTCCCCGGCCGACGTACAGGTGTCGGCGACGTCGGCGGGGAGAAATAGTCGTCGCTCGAGCTCGACGCAACTGCTGTCACCGGTGATCCTGCGGAGCTGGGGTCCGGTGACGGCGAGGCGGAGCTGAGCGACGAGTCCGGAGGTGGTGGGGGTGCGCCTTGTCGTCTTCTGGCTCTCGTCAACATCAACGTAACATTTTATTTTTCTGTTTCATAATCTTCGTTTTGCATGTTGTCAATTTGTCACTGTCAAATTCCATTTTTCTTCATTTATTGTTTATATAATGCTATTAGATGTTGATTTTGTGGTAAGTATATATTATTATAAAAAGATTTTGTTATTGTTATCGTGACTATAAGGAAACGTGTGAATTATTTATAAAAATAAACCAAAAAAATAACAGAGTAAAATTTTGTACGTTGACATGTCGTGGTGTTGCCAGAATTATTATTAAGTATTATTAATAATTATTATTATTATTATTAAGTAAGTATAGGTACATATACCTAGCTGATTTTATTATAATAACTAGCGAACCGGCCCGGCTACGCACGAGTGCAATATGCATGTATTATACATATAAACCTTCCTTAAGAATCACTCGATCTATTAAAAAAGCCGCATCAAAATCCGTTGCGTACTTTTAAGCATACATAAGGACAGACAGGCAGCGGATAGCGACTTTGTTTTATACTATGTAGTGACTATAAAATAATCACATAGGTAATCTGAATAAATATCTAATAAAATTGCACAAACAATTGTAATTATTTACGTGTATTAAAATGTTTTCTATGATATCTATAGTAGATAATTTGGTACCTAATTACAGTTTTATCGCCTGCATTTGAGGTTCTAATCATATCTAAAAGTCAAGTAAGTAGACACCTGATCTACCTCTATGTAATCATCAATTAATCATAAATAACACGCAAATATTTATTTTGCTGTCCCTCAATCAAACGATAAATAAAATCAGATTACCGATTTATTTGCAATAGATATCTACCTAAGTACGCAAGTAGGTACTGATATGTATTTTTTTATCTTTTGTCTCGGGCGGGCCCTTGTAGGTATGCCACCTGCGCCCCTCAGACCCAATCCGACCCTGGATACTCATGCACCGAATAGATATATTCGGTCAGGTCAACAACTTCCTATATCCCCTTAAGTTTGTTTTCATCTATTGATAAGATTTTTAGTTTTGGACCCTCACTAGGTGGCGCTTCTAATGACATGATTCTCTTTTTAAACTGTCAAACACCAAGCGGTCATCAGCATCAGCAATTCTCATTTTAATGATATCTATATAATGTTAAAGTTTTTTTTTATGAAAACAATCAGCTATGTACTGAAAGTTTAGTAAACTGCTTTTTAAGTACCTTCGTTAGCAAATTACCTATTAAACTGTCAGTTTCAACTGTCAGGCAGTTTACTAAACTTTCAGTAGCTGAATGTTTTCATAAAAAAAAACTTTAACATTATATAGATATCATTAAAATGAGAATTGGAGATAAAAAGACTACCTCAATATTAGGTGAACAAAGGACGCTCTAATCAGTAGATTAGGTAATCTCTTATAAAAATAGAAATGAAACAATATACTCACAAATCCTTCATAACTGTCTGTTGTACCATTTAAGGTGATCTTCAAAGTTTGCCATCCATTCGGGGAGTATCCTGAAACCCCAGTCTCAGCTTTTGCTCTCACAAAGGAGCCACCATCAGGCAACATTTGGCTGACGAACACCTGAATCTGATCACTGACATCAGACCGTTCCATATAAATGTCCACTTCAATGGTACCACCTGATTTCATTGAGAACACGAATGACGACGCACAACTTGGAGACCATTGAGAACTGGGTGTGATGAAAGTTGAGCTCCCTCTATCTCCGATCATATTTAGATCCTTATATTTACCGATAAACCAGAGCGGGAAATTACTACAAACGCCATTGTCACTAAACAATTCATAGAAACCTTGTTCAAAATCGTAGTTGACACACAATTCACCGATTGCGTACGGCACGAGGATTAATAACGTAAAAGCTTTGACAATCATCACATGCACTGCACAGATTACTCGATATGATACGAATGCTGTAGGCGGACGTCAAAATATGTATATATACGCCAATTATTTCAAGATCGAGTGACGAAGTAGCTCAACCTTAGATAAGGTAATTTATCAATCGAGGTATCAAACGTATCCTCTCTTTATCACCGATTTATCGACCGACCACGCAGTTATCACACTGATATTATAAATGTGAAAGTTTCTTTTTTTTGATGTTTGTCGGTCAATCACGCTGAAACTATTGAACAGATTTTGATGAGGTACACAGGCAGGGTATGGACTGACTTAGATGATAGGATATTTTTATCACGATTAATTAATTCATTTAAGTGTGGGTGAGCCATGCTTCTGCACGAATGGACCGGCTCGACCGGAGTGATACCACGGCCGAGCAGAAAACCGACGTGAAACAACACTTTCGTTGTGTTTCGTCGCGTGAGCGAGGTTACCGGAGGCCAAATTACCCCCTTCCCCTATCCCTGAATCCCCAACAATTCCTCAAATTCCTAATCCCGAAAGGCCGGTAACGCACTTGTAACGCCTCTGGTGTTCCAGGTGTCCATGGGCGACGCCAATTGCTTACCATCAGGTGACCTGTCTGCTCGTTTACCGGCTTACTCCATAAAAAAAAATGCTCTCATGGGATAAAACAGAAATAACTTGTAAATGTCCTAATTCCACGCGGGCAATGCCGCAGGTAAAAGTTAGTACTAAATATTTATCATATTTTCTTTATGTTATCTAGTAAAATATTTGTGCAACAATAGGATTTGAGGATTTAAATGAGTAATTAGTCGATAAGACAGACAAGTTCCGTTTGTTTGATATCAATATTTTTAAAACAGATATGTAATTATATCGATGACTAATACATGTCTTTAGAATTTGACCCCAGATTTAATGTACAATATTCAAGATAAAATGTACAAGATCTCATTAGCTTCTTATTGGCTATATAGGTCGCGGGACGATCTCCGGCCACCGTAAGCGCGGGCCTGCGGACGGCGAGCACTCCCGCCTCACTCAGGCGGGAGAAGTCACAGAATGATTTTGAGTTAATTTAGCATGTCTCACGATAGTTATTATAGCAACATAACATTTAACAAGTTAATAAAACACTAAAGTCCATGAATTAAGATTTATTTTCCGTTAATATCAGATTAAATGGTTACATATGTAAATGTAATGTCATGTAATATATTAAATAAGTGCCTGTGACTAAACTAGGCTTGTCCAGTGATATTCAAACTACATAGTTATGATATAAATTCAAAATACATGATATTGATATTGCACTGAGTGACTACTTCGCTACATCTAAAGCTTATAAAATTATTTGTGGCTACGGTTTTGACAGCTGCCTGCAGCAATTTTGTCTGGATTTTTGTCTAGATTCAACTGTGCTATAGGTGTATAGATTTTTAGACCTATAACTATATGCCTAAAAATGTTATTGAGGGTGGGTGGGCCCTTAAAATTTTTATCCAAAACAAATGTGGGTAATGAAACACACCAACATTGTTCTACAACACTGATTTTACAGCATATTCATTAGTGTATGTTTTAAAGTTTTAAAGTATGTATTTCCCAAGCATTAACTAATTAACAGTCATAGCAGGAGAGTGGCAGCATTACCTAAATTTTATGTAACCTTACTGCAAACTTCAAGTCATTTGCCAAGCGTGTACACATGGCCACACATCAATCTATACAAAACCAGTTTATCCTGGTATCGCGTCGCCTCATCTTTCGCACATTTAACATTCAGTTTATGTATACTGGTTATGTAAAGTACGATGTGTAGCCGTGTGTACATTATGACAAACTCCCGCAGTAAATGAAATCTTTTATCGGCCTATATAATTGTTCCAGACATAACCAACATCCGTAGCCAACAACACCTAAACGAGTATCTCATATTAATACGAAGAACAATAAATAATACTTTAACCTCCCATGTTTTACACAAGATCATTACACATAGGCATTTCGTATCAAAATCTTACAATACATATTGTACTTATATTATAAAAATGTCATACATATGAGTATATAATATTATATGTATATTGAATATTAATATAGGTACAATGGGGGGCACATCCGCCTGAACACCACTAAGTTACTGTTTACAAGACATTTATGGCTTGATTTTTTTTGCCCGGTACAGGCAATAAAATTTTAAAAAGGTCAGGCGAATCTGTCCCCTACTGTACCCAGTGTTATTGAATTCGTGAATAAGAACAAGTTTAAGTTATTACTAAGCACATATTTGTTAATAATCTTCAATTTATTGTGATGTATCAACTGCGAATTAGGTAGTTAAATTTAATTTGTGTATTACAATTACTATCGCCAATAGTAACCCAAAAATACCCACGAATTCAATAACACTCTGTATAAAAAAATTAAGTTACATAATTGATTTTATATGATAATATTATACGAGTAGTGTAATACTTTTCTTACATCTATGATGTATTCTAAGCCCAGGGTATTCGAAACAAAACCACTTATAGACATTTAGATAAAAAAGTGTCCCTTCGCCTAATAACACACAATAACCTAACAATTTTTTAAACGTTACACCACAATAGGTTGTTATCCTGTGTCGTGGGTGCGTTTACAAACATACAAGTTCATATACACATCACACCCAGACCCGAGAAAACAATCTGTGGATCACACAAAGAATTGTTCCGTGCGGGAATCGAGCCCACGACACGTTGCCCGGCAACCAGTTGCCCGACCACAGCCCCAACCGTAGAGTCAATGACTTGACATAATAATATAATTTTGTAGCATCAAAATAAAATATTAAACTTGTAAATATCACATAAAATTGTCAATTATACAATCGACTACAGAAATTTGTCAAATCAAAGAAGGACCATAAAATATTGTTTACCATAAAATAATTACGTTAAGGTTTCGAATAACCTGGCTTTAGTGACTTTTATATATATATAAAGTGCACAAGATAAACATAGTCTAAGACTATTTATTTTATTTTAAATGTAATCACATAATATTAATGTGTAATAAATATTAAGTGACATAACACACCGGGACGCCATTGCGAAGTCGCCAGCAGATGTTAATTGTTAACTCACTTGGTGACCGACTGGCGACGTTGCCAAATATACGAACTAAATACAATTTAGTTGGCGACGTCGCTGGCGACGTCGTCATGGCGTCCCCTTGAGTTATGGCTCCAATGCAGAAGAAATATCCATTTTAATAGAAATATAGTCTGATAAATAATTATATTATAGTGACGACAATACGTTATCATATTTATTTTTATTGAGTAAAAGTTAGATTATAATGTTTTAAGTTTTTATAGTAAACAAACATTTCTCGCTACATGGCATAACATGCCTGAAAATTCCTATGTCAAGGCTTCAGACATAAAATCGTGGCATATACTGAATAAATAATATAATATGCATTATAAAATAATTAAATAAAAATCACATTGTCGTTCAAGTCAACCAATGACAAAGAAACAGTCGATTTTAAACTAAAACTTCTTAATACCAGAATATACAAACACATTATATACACAAAGATACAATTAATACTTGCATCCTAAATTTAAAAGAACCCATAAGTAAAGATAGGTGACAATTATAGTTATATAGTTATTAGCACTTATATAGTTATTTGGGTGCTATGTTAAGGGCCAATTGTTCAATCGTAATTTTTTCACTGTAGAATAACATTGACATTATTAGACAATTTTTAGTACCTATAGAAGAATTGTCAAATGTTCAAAGCTATTCACATCAGTTACAATTTATCTAGCGTCTCTATGACGGTGATTACATTACATTTTCAAATATCTTTCCATAAATTAGGAATATAACTTAGCTAGTTAAGGAATAGTGATTCTTATCTTTAATATGCATGGGTATTTAACTGAAAATGTCCTTCAAACTACACTATAACAGTTTGGTAGCATTACTACAACAAGAAACTTTACTGAGGGCTTCAGTGAACCAATAAAACAGAGCGCTGACCGCGGTAACATTTTGATTTCTTTAAATTTAAAACAATTTAGTACTACTCGCACAGTTATCCCATAAATGTAATTAGTCCGTCAGTTAGATAAGAAAAAAATATTAGACACATATTTATTTACTTTTTCGTAGAAGAAAACAATACTTAGATAAAACGGAGTTAAGTTGTTAGGAGTGGGAGGTCGTTACGTCACGCTACCCCATATTTTTTTATGGCATAATACGGTAAACGAGCAGGCGGATCACCTGATGGTAAGCAATCGGCGTCGCCCATGGACACCTGGATCACCAGAGGCGTTACAAGTGCGTCACCGGTTTTTTGGGGATTAGGAGTTTGAGGATCGTTGGGGATTCAGGGATTGGGGAGATAGGGGATGGGGAAGGTAATTGGGCCTCCGGTAACCTCAATCACACGACGAAACACAACGCAAGCGTTGCTTCACGTCGGTTTTCAGTGAGGCCGTGGTATCACTCCGGTCGAGCTGGCCCATTCGTGCCGACGCATGGCTCTCCCACACTTAAAATGTAGTTAATCGTGACGTCACACAATATAGCAAATCAATATATCGTCGAAAGCATTTAATTTTGTAAGAAAATAACAAATACGTGTCTAATGTTTTAAAATAATCTACCAGACGGACTTTAAAGCAAAATTTAGGATACTAACCCATTGATATTATTAGTGCAAAGGAAAGTTTATGGATTACCTCTTTACTTTTTATCTACTTAAAATCTTAAAAAATTCGCATACATATACAGGTGGGAGTACAGAGAAGGATATCGGCTACATGAGTAAAGCTGTGGATAAAAGCTAGTCTTAATTTTCTAACAACTTGTAATTTTAAAACTACATTCGCCTGAGAAATCAGCACAATGTGCGTGGGATGAAATAATTCTGGGTTAAATGCGCTTTTTTGCCATTAGCGACAGTGGCGCCGCTGACTTAACATTAAACGACCATTTCATTCACAAGAGAGCACTCTTTAATTCATCTTTATATCCAATGATAACACCATTCAACAAGCAACAATAAAAGTGTTGCAATACCCAACCAATCACGCCATTAATTCCAAAAAGGGAATACAGAAACCATAGTTTCATACCTTTAAAACTGACGTCTTCTAAAAAAGCGCGCCAAAACTTTTTTATTTTTCGCTCACAGATTATGTAGGGACGAATCAGTGAACAGACTTCTAAGAAATTCGTGTTCATACGCTAGAGGTTGTATAGCCCTGGGTGGTTATTTTTTTAATTAAATGATTAGTTTATCTGAAATCGTCCTGGATGCTGTTGGTGTTTCTCCCGAATTCAGCGATTACTGGCCTGCCGCTCAGAATGGTTCCATGCACCTCATCTAAGGCTTGGATTGCTATATCTTCCGCTGTGAAGAAAATGATGAAATATGAAATACGTACGTGTATAATAATCTCGCCTACAGGCGACTCTTTAAATTTTAATGAAAGACATTAAGCTCATATTGACAATTTACAAATCGAATAAACTAATAATGGTAAATCGCTCAAGCCAGGGGCGTAGCTAGCGCCGTATCTGCCGTATCAATCATACGGAGCCCCTGTGTCACAGGGCCCCCTACATGCGTAAGCAAAAATTAATAAAAACTTTTTAATTTATTTTAGAAATAACAGTAATCGTAATAAGTAATTAATTTTTTCTGCGTAAAGTATGCATTAAAACATATACGGTCTAAAGTCATCATAATCCGGTAATAATTTGAGCAGAAATATGGGGGTTGCCTGGAAAGATTTCAGGGATTGTCGAAAATTCGTAATTTTATAGATTTTGATGTAATCTTTCTACATTCATCTTGGAAAATTGGCGGCAACAGGCCTTTTAGAATATTTTTCTGTGCGCATTTATTTCTTATACCCCCCCCCCCCCAACGCTCGCTACGCCACAGGCTCAAGCAGATGGGTCAAATCTGACTAATATTATAAATGCGAAAATTTGTGATTGTGTGTACCTATATTGTTTGTTACTCAACCACGTCAATACGACCGCAGGGATCGAGATAAAATGAAAGTAGCCCTATGTGTCGACTAGAATAACACATAGTCTACTTTCCTACTACAGAAACGCGGGCTAAGCCTGTCAGAAGCTATTCTTAACATAAAAAAAAAATGGTTGCCTGTAAAGTCGTTTTTACGGGCGAAGATTTTACGTGACAACGTCTTTTTCTCGGTAGAATATTTATTGATATGAATATAATTAAATTGCACAATAGGAACAAGGAATTGAATGAACTAGTGCTGCGCGCGCGGCAGACCGATCATAGTTGAGTGGGAGAGAGACGCAAGGCATTCGGCGGGCCTCTCTCTCGTTCGGTGACTCATCGTAACGTTACCGAGCGTTACACTTTTTCATAAGTGACTCCCAGCCGCAACCTAATTTAAGACGTTGTCACGTCAAAATAACAAGTAACATTTTCTAAACTCACATTGGAAAGACACAAACGCCTGTCCTCGCATGCGTCCAGTCATCAGCCTCACGTCCACGGGGCCACCGTTAGCCAACAGAAACTGGTTGAAAAGTAACGACAGCTGCTCCAGGCTCACTGTTGGAGCTATGTTCTTTAGAAACAGCACCTGGAATTATAGTTGCAATGTAACTTCAACCATTACTACATATAACAAAGTCGTTTTCCGCTTGTTGTAGGTTAGATCTTTTAAACTATGCAACAGATTTGAATACTTTTTTTAATATATAGAGTGATTCAAGAGGAAGGTTTATATGTAGATATAACTACTTCGAATTAGAGCGTACAAAGCCGCGGGAGAAACAAGTGACATGATAATTATTTGAATGGTACACTCGAAAATAACTGGCGAGCTAACGAGCGCTCGCGATTAATCAAAATTCGCGAGTTGTTATTATCATCACTTATTAATGGATCAAGACCACCAGAAGACTTGAGTGCAGCACAAAAAAAAACCTATTAAAAAAATATGGACAAACCTAACAAGTCTAATAAATCCATGATATAACGTCCTCAATTAATGGACTATTCAATTCAAAAAGAAATATTCAATACAAACCAGTACTTCCGGAGATTTATGTGTTCAAACAAAATAAACTCATAAGCTTTAATAATAAAGTAAAATATTACAATCATACTTCAACTAAAGAATTATTTTCAAATGCTCAGCCAGAAACAAATAGAGATATTGAACATACCTTGGAAGGAGTACCAGGAGTCCAGTCCTTGAATCGATCTATCTTCCTGATATCATCCGTTGGCATCTTAGTCCCTTCCAAGAGGTTTGTTTCAGCATCATTATTCTGCATCACAAGATCCAGAGCCCTATGCTCGTCCTGTTCTCGCTGTACAGGCTCCAGCCTCAGAATCTTGTTGTTCCGTACAGTATACATTGCTCGGAAATGCGGACCCATTGCATTAGCCTCTTGATCTTTGCTAGTGATTGTGTGAGGAATCAAACGTGGCATCTCCCTCATGTCCCAAAGACTACCTGGTCTATCTACTCTCGATGTGCTCGGTATCGCAGCAATGTTGAATGGATTATCATGTTGCAGTCTTTCCTTCTTCCTCTGTAATCGGCGCAGGAGCTTGCGTCTCTTAGTCAGCGGCATCATGTCATTCTTCATTTGTCCGAAGAGGTTCCCCTCTAGTTGTTTCAGCTCGTTCATTGGATGCCCCTCAGGGTAGAAAGTGATAGGCTTCTGTTGAAGTCTTTCAATGAGGTTTTCAGGAGCAGATGATGTACTTGGCTGTTCAGTTTGTGATGTTACTGTATGACTGAAATTAATTAAATATTAAGCTCCTATTTATTGTGATATTATGAGCTAATCCAAGTTATGAGTGTAGCAGAGCACTGTTGCTATGGCCTTAATACATAAAGTATTGTGGTATTTGCTGACAATAAAAATCACTACAAATGCTACAAAACAATCGCGTAAAAGACAATTTTAAAACATACTATATAAATATTTTATACATAGTATGTTTCATAGCTAAGTAAATACATACCTTTTATTTTGATTGTGTGCGTTATTGATTTTATTGTATATGTCTTCGAGTTTATCCTTCAGCGCTCCGGACTCGATCTTCTTACGCTGATCCAGGAGCCCCGCCTCATTCTCCTGATACAACTTTATTTCCTCGCTAGTAAGCCCAGCTTTCTTCAGCCATTCGTGGTGGTGCACCTCCTGCTCAGCTTTCCGGAACTCTTCAACCGATGATAATCCATATTTCGGAAACGGTAAAACCTCGGTGGTCTTTTCAAACTCCTTCGGCAAAGACTCCGAACTAAAACAATCATATTATTTTTTAACACTAAAATGTTACGCGTAACTACTGTAATATTTTTACAATTTTATTTACCACATCGTTTTCACCAATAAAGAACTTCGCACACAATTTTTCTGTTGAAATAAAACCCTTTAAATCACGAATAAAAAATAAGCAATAACAAAAAGACTAAGACTGCTATTTTCCCGCTGTGACAGTTTGAACGCTTAATTGACACGATCGATCGGAAAATCTAAGTCAGTAAGTTCGGACTCGAATAATTGGCCTTTGAGAAAAATATTATAGCCCGACTAGGAATTATTTATTATACTGTGTCGTGGGTTCATGGTCAGAAGTGGCATTTTTTGGATAAATACTCGAATAGCAATGGAAAAATGTCCAGTATTCATTTATCCATTTTGATTGTTTGTCCGAAAACCCACCCATCTGTAGTCTATAGCCACGGCACGACACGCCAAGCCAAATACATTTTTTTAAGGGTCGAAAATCATCGAATGACTGAGGTGGGAGGGAGTGTCAGACTCTTACTGACTAAAAACCACCCAGTTCCTTCTCCTGGATGATGAGCCGGAGCCCCGGTTAACCGTTAGGTTCTCCGCGATTACCGTCGGGATATGTGAATGGAAATTGCAAAAATGAAATTATATGGCCAGTGCACGAGCACTATTGCATAGATTTAACCAATAAGGCAATAAAAAATAAACAAGATAAAAAAAAAATTATATGAATATTTTTTTAAGGCGTGAAAAATCATCGAATGACTGCTCAAGCCTGGGTGAGGCCGGAGGGAGTGTCAGACTCTTACTGATTAAAAACCACCCTGTTCCTTCTCAGTAGCATCCTCAAGGGGGTAAACCTATTGCCACGTATTCTTCTTCTTCAATTGCATATAACTGGCTACGCCCTGCTAACCAAAGGTCTCTTCTCGTAAGGAGAAGGTTTGAGCATCAATCACCACGCTTGATCAATGCGGGTGTGCGATTTCAAAAATCTATATAAATAAAAATGAATTGTTGTTCGTTAGTCTCGCTAAAACTCGAGAACGGCTGATCCGATTTGGCTAATTTTGGTCTTGAAATGTTCGTGGAAGTCCAGGGAAGGTTTAAAAGGAGAAAAGGTTTAAAGTGAGAAAAATATTTTTTAGGCGGTATGAAGTTTGCCGGGTCAGCTAGTTAGAAATTAAAAATCACAGGTTTCCTGACAATGTTTTCCTTCACCGTTAGTTTTACCGAATTTTTGAAAAGCTCCGATAACACCGTCTGACCAGGGAATCAAAGCCATGGTCCCCTATACTTACGAGTTACCACCTCTCTTTTTTGTATTAAATGTTTGTTGAAAAATTACGTCATTCACTTATCTTTTTTACTTCAAGGCTGAAAATGACAAACTTGCCCTTGAGCCCTTGACGTTACAAGAATGTAGCTCACTTGGCGGCACTTAAAATTGAAGCGGCCGAAAGGTTCGAGAAGTTCAAAGTGAGCTTCATTGCTGAACAAGCTGTGCAGCTGAGCAGAAAGGTAAGAATACAAATATTAAAAAACTGTAGGCCCCATTTCATTGTTTAAAGCCTAAATTGCATTGCACTCCAAGTCGTTTCTGAAAAAACCGTCATTTTTAATTCACCCACATTTCAGCAGCCTACCGCTCGCAATGCCATCAATGCCAGACCTCAATCCAGAGTCTTCCGATCTTCCGATAAACCAACACCAAATGTCGTCATACCCTCTGCATCGGTCAACGCATCAGAAGCCAAGCTCATCAGTCTACTGTCAGCTTACGTCGGATCAAGCATTCAACATAAGTGGTATTTTAAAATATACGATATGATTAAAAGAAAGTAACCATGACATGACTGTTATAAGAAATTTTAGGCAATTTTAAGTTTTTATTTAAATTAACGAAAATAATGTCTTGTTTCTAAGATGAACATAAAAAATCTGTAGAGTTACTTACGTATTTCTTAGGATAAGAAGACACATCGAATAATTGTAATAATTATATAAAGTATAGTACAAATGACATTTTGTAATTTCAAAATAAATAAGTGTAAAATAGAAGTAGTTATTGTTTCACTAACTAACAGCATTAAAGAATAACGTCATTGATATACATAAAACATTAGGGCAACACTATCTGTTTTTGTCATTACTGTCAAAACAAATTAGTTTTCGAAGTTCGAAGTCAGGCCTGTGACACTGTTAGTTCCACAGTAACCGCAATGCGCTAGTGTACCGGTCGCCATCTTTGTCGCCATATTGTTATCCATGACGTCATCGTCATGATGACGTCATGGATAACAAAATGGCGACGTCATGACTATCTGTCAACTGTCACTATTGTCAGTCAGTTATTCGTGTTTATTTTGAGTGCAACTGCCGGTTTTATTTTGTGTATTCCTCGCTTTTCAGCTTGAGTTGAGTTACAAATAATCCCTAACGTTCCTTGATATTCACGTATTGACTGATCTGTAGTTTTTCGCCATGAACGTGCGAAAGTGTTGTGTCGGTAACTGCCAGTCTACGAATCGTACTCATCGCCTTTTCCTTCTTCCAAAGGACGATAATTTGAGAGATTTGTGGCTATCATTCTTGATTCCAACCAACATAGAGCTCAGTGGTCTGTCTAAGAATCAGTTGTTGTCTAAACGTGTTTGCCAAAATCATTTTGATCGCTATCAATTTGATAGCGTGGGGAACCGCCTACGCCACGGCTACCCTTGCTTGTTTTCTGATAAAGAAATATCTTTAGGTATTCCATTGAGTTCAACTGGTAAGTACATATATATGTTCATTCCATTCATGAGTAGTTTTCCCACATTACATTTCTGATCAGTGCTTGTTTTATTCCAGTTGGTGACCATTTAAGTGATCACAATTACTTTTTGTCATCTGCACCTGAGAGCCACACTGTAAGTGGTTCATACATTGAAGGTTGGTATTTGTGTTATGTGGAGTTATTAAATTTAACTGGTCAAATCCCAAGCGGTCACTGGTGACCACTCTCCAGTTGTTGTCTGTTACAATTTGCACCATTTGGCAATTAACCATTCATTTTTATGTAATATTATTATTTAAAAAAATTTGAAATTCATCAAATCAGCTATACCTATTATGTTTGCAAAAAAGTGATCCCTCTCTAGACAATTGATTATCGTAGCATACTTTATTACAAGATAAATGTTCCACAAGACATTTTTTACTTTCCTACTCGTTCTTCTGAAACAAGAAGGAATGTAGCTATGATAGATGGTCACCCATCCACAAACTAACCTTGGCAATTTTATTTATTTTTAAATCTTTGCCTAGGTTAGTTTGTAGATGGGTGACCATCTATCATAGCGAGTTTCCTTTGTGTTTCGGAAGGAGAAGTAGTATGAAGGTAAGAAATGACTTTTGGAACACTTATATTATTAACTCGTCAAGTACCGGTTTAGTAGACACAATTATAGAACAATAGGTTGCGGTCATCGGTGACCGCTTGTTGTTTGACAGTTTAACAGAGTTAAATGCTTTAATGTTGTAGCATACCTAATTAAGTTTTAATTATTTTCAGTTGATGATGACCACAACTACCATTTGCCAATTGTGCCTGAGAGTGCAATAGCTGAAGCAACTGTTCAAGGTGTGTAGTCAAGTGGAATGTGTAATAATTATTAAGTAAAATTTCTAGCTCAGTTTGATTTTAAACAACAATATTTGATTTCCAGGACATTGCTCTAAAGACGTTGAACCTATGGAAACAGAACCCACGGCACCCATGGACACTACAAGTTCTGACCAAATTTTGCAAACACCAGTGGTTACTAAAACCAAAGGTAGTCAATTTCTTACTTTTTATGTTGTACCTATATCAGTAGGTAGAATATCAATTCTAAATGTTTGTTTATTTATATTTTTCATAATTAATACAGTTAGTAGTTATTAACATCAAGTTAAAATTTTGTTTTTATGGTTCCGTACTCAAAGGGTAAAACGAGACCCTATTGTTTTCGCTTCACTGTCTGTCCGTCTGTCTCGTCACCAGGCTGTATCTCATTAACCGTGATATAATTACAAAGTTGTAATTTTCACAGATGATTTATTTCTATTGTCGCTATAACAAAAATTATCAGAAACTCAAATAGAATAAATATTTTGGGGCTCTCATCCACATCCATACATGATTCTTTTCTCGTTTTTGGACGGAACCCGACCGCGCGAGACCGACTCGCAATTGGCCGATTTTTTAATTTTATTTATTAACAAATTTTATTTTTTATTTCAGTAACAGCAAGAACATCAAGACGAAATATCTTATTTGCAAAAAAATGTTATTCTGAAACAAGTAAGTTATTTCATTTTTCCTGGTCACATTATAGTGATATTATTTTTCCAAAACCTGTTATTAGATTTTTTTGTAATGTCTTCAATTCAAAACTGTCTAAGTCTATTTTATTCTTTTATTTAATTTTAATGTTGTAGTAATAGTGTATCCTAAGTTGAACATATTTATTTATTTTTGTATCTAAATTATAAGTCATAATTATGTTATTCTTCACTACATAGTATAAACCAAAGTCGCTATCCGCCGTCTGTCTGTTCCTATATATGTTCCTATATAGACCTTTAAAACTACGCAACGGATTTTGATGCGTTTTTTTAAATACATAGAGTGATTCTTAAAGATGGTTTATATATACATACATATTGCACCCGTGCGAAGCCGGGGGGCCGCTAGTGTTAAATAATTACAAGTTCTTTTACTGTACTTTTTAACGCACAATTTTAATTGCTTAGCTGTATCCCAAGAGACATTGAGGGTTACGGCTGTAAATGAAAGAGTCAGGGTTCATTCATCTGCATATACAGCAGGCTACATATGTAGAAAAATAAATAAAAAAATTAATTGCCAAGAGTGCCAAAAAACTTTTGTTGCAGAGGTCCAAGAAAATTTCCACAAATGGATAATGTATAGGGAGTATAAACTATTAAAAAATAGCAATTTAGCTTATCCCTCAAAGCGGTTTTTAATATTATATAGAGATATAGCCAACTTGATACATTTATATTTAAACCAATATGCCCACATAAAAAGTATTGGGAAAAGTATAAAAAGAGAAATCCTACATAAACTTAAATTTGACTGGCTGGGTTGCTCAAAGCACAAAACAAATGCACGCGAATATTTTACTAACTTAATTTTAAGGCTGCACATCCATAATTGGTGCAATATAATAAATAAAATATTAAGAGGAGATGTGGAGGAAAAATACATTTTAAAAATGAGTATTGCTCAAATTAAGGCCTATAATAAATATAAAATGTATAAGTTGAGAAGCAAAAATAAATAATTTGAAATTACCTAATGTTTCATTTATTTTCTAAAAGTCGAAGTTAAGACTTAATTTTTACAGATTCCCGAATAGTTTTTTTTTATCGACTATGGTAATCACTAGCAAAATCGATATATAAATTACACATCACTAACCTACGTCATACTTTGTGACGTCATGAAATGCGATACTAGCGCTTTGCGGTAACAAGTGAAAACTAATACCAAAAAATCGAGTGTCCTATCTGTCTCTGACTAGTATATAGTAATCTGTGTTCGAAGTAGTGGAGTGGTTGTTACGTGTGTTTATCAAAAATAATTTCGTTAAAATGAATAAATGGTGGAATTGGGTACTGGGGTTCGCGTTATTCTGCCTGTTATTTGTTGCAATACCTATTTCACTGTCGCGGCAGAAATCTGTGGAAGAACTTAAGCCTATGTTCGATGATTACATTGCAAAGTTCAATAAAAGTTATGCGACTCCAGAAGAATATTCGGCGAGATTTCAACATTTTGTTGTAAGTTCTTTTTTTCAATTATACATAGTTTTTACTTTTTATTTTATCGGTAGTACCATAGAGTTGAAGAAAACTTTTGTAAACTTATCAACTTTTTATTGTATTTATTTTGCTTTATCTTGTTTGTTCCTGTAACTATCAGAAAGTGTACCTATATTTATTTTATCTCAACGCACAACAAGGACAAGTTAGTATTGATGCACATTTTATATGATTTAACTTTGAAGTTCCAATAAGTACCTAATTTGTTGCTATTATACTTAATATAGCAACAAATTAGGTTTAGGCTTTCTATCAGTTTTTTACTTTCTACAAACTTAATTCTAGATAATCTTGTTATTTATTTGATTTCCTTTTTTAAAGCTACAACAACTAACTTAATTATAATCAAAGGCTAACAAGAACAACCTACCTACATAAAATTATCTGGTTTATTTATTTTTTACCAAAAATGTTGGTACTGTATTATTTTTTTATTCTTTAGTTACAAAGTTTTATTTTGTTTCGTAGGCATAAAACTATGTATTTGTAATCATTAATATCAAAATTAAGTATAATAATTTGAACACCTAAATAACTGCATATTAGGCATTATAATACTGATGAAATATAATTATCTACTAATAGGTAAGGTGCAATGGTGTCAAATAAAAGTTAAAACATGTTCATCAAATTAGAAATGCATTATTATTATTCTGACATAACATAACACTTTTTATCCCCGGAGGGGCAGGCAGAGGTGCACATTATACACTGCACTTAATGCCACTACAATATACCACCCAATTTTCTCTATTTATGTTATGAGTCCCATGTAATAGGGGGTGAGCCTGTTGCCATATTTATTATTCTGACTTATTCTTAAAGTCAGTTTTTCATAAAAAAATATGAAGTCACATGCTTGTTACATATCTATATTATATTATATCATATAACTAGCTACTTCCGCGCGGTTTCACACGCTCTACTCAGCTCCTATTGGTCGTAGTGTGATGTTTTATAGCCTATAGCCATCCTCGATAAATGCGCTATCCAACACAAAAAGAATGATTCAAATCACACTTGTAGTTATGGAGATTAGCGTGTTCAAACAAACAAACAAAAAACAAATTCTTCCACATTATATAATAGAATAAGATATAAAAATTAATCCCTTTTCCCTTATGACTGCATCACACGTGAATGGCTGGATCGATTTCACTATTTCTTTTTTTGTTGTATTTGCTATTTTTAGGAGAAGGTCAAGAACTCCAAGACAGAAAAAAACCTAAAAATCCTACGGGAATGGGAGAAAACTAGATTGCGTGTACGAGGTCGCGCACTGAAGCTAGTAATAAATATAATTACAACAGTAGCATTCATTACAAACACATCAAAAGTATAAATAAGACAGTGTTTCATTCTTTCTTACACTTGACTTTTAGATAAAAATATAATTAAGATAATGACAATTTCAATTAAATATTTGTGGCATTTGCTAAATTAAGGAACTGTCATAGCATATTAGCAGACACTCAAGCGAGTTTACATCTGGCCTTATTTGTAAATAGGATTTTATTTTAACTATGGGTGAAGGCCTCCATGTGTTGCTTCCACTACTCTTTTTGAAATGCTTTCTAATCAATTATTATGACTATTATAATTAAATAATAATTCTGTATATTTAATTCATTAAATTTATTGTGTATTATTTTTATTAAGTATTCAGATAATTCAAAGATAATGCCAGATAAGACTCTTGTACATTTTTAACATGTTTGCTTCCTGTTAAGGCAGGTCCACTCTAACTTCTGTTGTTTTTTTATTTTAAAAACAAAACAGTATTGGCTTGCACTTTTCGCCCATTTGAAATTAATTTTTAGTCTTCAAAACAGATTAGGCTTATATTATAACTTTCATGAGACATACTAAATTCATTATTAGTCACAATGAGTGATCTGATAACATAATTATTAACAGATTAGGTTGTGAGATTATTTCCATAATTCTTCCCAGAGTAGGTAGATAGCATGATAGCCCACTACAGAAAGAACTGGCACGGTTCTCACACATAATCTGTTATACGTATTGTCTGGACTTTAAAAGAGACAGACCTCTGAGTTTGTTTCGGCATTTCTTCTCAGAGTAGTCAGTTAGGAAATGTCGACCTCATCGTTCGCTTGATAAAATTGACGTGTAAAAGTGCTGCCTTGTAGCCTATTTGCAGAAATAAATTCACTTGTTTTACTTCACTTGTTTCACTTCTTTCACTTGATAGTAAAGCCCTTAATAATAAAAAGATTCTTTAAGAAGTCCAAGTCAGATAGGCATGTTTATTACACGCCTATAATAAGAATTGACGAGTTTAGAGTTAGAGACATAAGCTATAGTTGTATCGTTGTAACTGTACCATAGGTTGGCTACTGTTTTGAACCTGACCTGTTCATGATTTTTTTTCTAGGCATCAGTGCAAGAAATAGAGCTTCTAAATGCAGCGTCAAGAGGACCAGACCACTGCAAAGCAAAATATGGACTTACAAAACTATCAGACATGTCAAAGACTGAATTTAAAGAACAGCATTTAGCTGATGAAAAACTTATGAAGCCGCCTAAATCTTATGGCAGGAGACGAGCTCGTGATGGCAAATCCAGGAAATATGATGATGATGATGATGATGATGACAAACCCTGCTCCAATAGTCCTCATGACAATATTTATGTGATCATCAGGAAGAAACGGGCTGCACTACCGTTACAGGTAGATTGGTAAGTCTGTTTTATTGTTTTAAACTTTCAGTGAATATGTAATGAATTATTTTCTGTTTCTTGCAATTAGTTAAATACAGAAACTATAAAATAGATAACAATGGATGGTATAATTGCTCATAAGTTCTTTATATTAGTCCTATCTTTAATTGTTTGTCGCGGAGAACCTAACGGGTAACCGGGGCTCCGGCTCGACGTGCAGGAGAAGGAATGAGGTGGTTTTTAGTCAGTAAGAGTCTGACACTCCCTCCTGCCTCACCCAGGCGGGAGCAGTCACTCGATGATTGTTACCCCTTAAAAAAATGGTTAATTGTTTGCACTTATTTGAGATCAATGTCATGTCTCTTATTTCAGATTTATTCTCTATCATTTCTTACTCTGTCGTTTTCTACCCTTCATTATTCATGATTTATCATTCCCTTAGGTCCCTTTATTTACTTTTTTCAACACTAATCCCGCCTAGACCATTGAGATAGTGTAAATTTGTAGCTGTCTCTATTATAATTGACTTGTGAATATAAATTATAATGTGACGATTTTGATTCTACAACAAGATACTCATGTTATTTAACCTTGATTGCATCGAGTCAATAAACGGCAAATGCATAATCTAATAGTGAGTAGGTATGTTCGTCCACGTGAGATAATATGTCGACGCACTCCCAACTGCCACTGTTAGTGAATATTTTTAGTAGCGTGTAGTTTTATCACTCTTAAGTTTTTGTTGACGTTCAAAAGTGACTTTCTGGTTTTTTTTTAAGACTTACTGACTAAAATCCACCCCGTTCCTTCTCCTGCACGTCGAGCCGGAGCCCCGGTTACCCGTTAGGTTCTCCGCGACTCCGAATCGGCATCGGCCCTGTTGGGCCCCATCTGTGGTGGTCTGATGGCTCTTTGAGGCGCGCGCGGAACGTGACGCGCCGATGTCTCACGATAGTTATTAATCGAACTGGTCTACGTTTATCAAAATTGTCATCTACTGAGGTATATTATATATTTTTTCTTAATGACTGGTATTAAATATTAGGTAGTCATTAGTTAGGTAGGTACTTTAAATGCCTGACTAGATTGAGTGGTAGTGCAGGCTCATATTTTTTGATTTGGAGGGTATTTTATTATTACTATTAACATAAAACTAGTTTTTGAATCAAATCAAATCAAATCAAATCACTTTTATTTGTTGAATGAATACAGTTTTGCTGGTTTCACGTGTTCAGCACTTGTAGGACAAATTAAAACATCAGATGACACATCACCAGCCCATAATTGCCCACTACTGAGCAAAGGCCTTTTGTCACTAGGTTCGCCCAGCATGATCACCATCACCACGCTTGCTCAAGACGGATTGCCGATTTCAAACTTATAATTAGAAAATCGTATATTATTATAAACTAGCGACACGCCCCGGCTTCGCACAGGTGCTATATGCATCTATTATACATATAAACCTTCCTTAAGAATCACTCTATCTATTAAAAAAAACTGCATCAAAATCCGTTGCGTAGTTTTAAAGAGCTAAACATACATAGGGACAGATATTAGCGACTTTGTTTGATACTGTGTAGTGATAGTGAAGATCAAAAACATAATTTGTAAAAAAAGCCGAGTCTAACAAGTCGTAACGCCTTTTTTCTAATGTAGGTACAAAGTTAATTGAGTCCCGTGAAATACCAATCGAGTAATTTAGTATTCGCATTTATTGTCAGTCATAAATTCGATACTTACCTACCTACTTGAGTTTATTGTATTGACTTGGTTGTCTCGTGAAAACACATTGTATTATTATTTTCTAGTAATACGATTTGCCTTCCCATTACCTCAAATACCTAAATATTATGAATGAAAGACCCACACCAAGGTTGCATTAGAATTATTTGATCAATAAATTATAAATTATACAACTGACTAGTTAGATAATTTATCACTTTGCTTTGTTTTGACCTGCTTCGAAAATGAAGGCCATCATTTCTTTTTAAAGCTATTTTATTATAAAACTGGATTTTAATTACTTAAACGTATTTTAATGACGTAAGGCGTTATTCATTATTTTAATTCAACTTTAAAATTTCATGTTTAATTTCAATAATTTCATTGTCTCAATGATTAGTTCATACGTCAGTGCAAATTATTAATTATTAATTTATACAAAATTGTATTATAATTCAATTGACGTAAATGCTACCTATGAGAGTTCTATGATTGATAGTCTATATTTAGCAGCAAATAAAAAAATAACGTCAGCGGAAATGCATATAAATACTCCACAGATTATTATAATTTTTTTAAAATGTGTTTATGACAAATGGAATTTTTACGTTCTGCCTTTTACGTCATTTATGTATGACCTCCGCTAGAACTACCTACTTGCGTAGGTAATATACCTTCCTATTCCTATGTATTCATAATTAAAGACTTTATTACTTCTAGATATTTAAATATAAGTTTAATTTATGCATTTCCCATATGGCTGTAGTATACCTAGTTCGTAGTTATTTTTGAATTATCATTAACGTATCTAGCTTCAAAATAGCTGTCAAAAGTCGTTGCCATTTAATAGATGCAGTATAATTTACTTTTGCATTTTACTATCGTGAAATTCTATCCTTATCTATGCGAAATATACATATTATGTTAATCGTGAGCGTTATTGTTATGTGATGTAAAAAATATAATTAGATGATGTTACTCGTCAGGGCCGTCTGAGACTACGCTGGGGCCCTTGGGCGCTCAATAATTCAAATTTGGAATGTTTCCTTTTTTTAAGCCCCTACACTACACTAGGATTGTCTCCTGAACCGTGGTTCCATTTACAAACATGCAAGTTCACATACACATGACACCCAGACTCGAAACAATATTGTGGATCACACAAAGATTTGCTCCGTGTGGGAAGCGAAACCGCTACACGTTGCGGGGCAGCCAGTTGCCGCGTATGTAGTGGGTGTCCGTCCGTTGTAGAAATTGTCGGTCCTTCGGGGCCCCTTGAGATCGGGGGCCCTGGGCACGGGCCCTGAGTACCCATAGGGTAAAGATGGTACGACGTTACTAATTCTTTTTTACTAAATCTTTTTTCGGTCAATCAGTGCGGCGACGAAGGTCTCTAACGTGTTTGTTTCTCGACAACCGGTTTTCAAATGTACATTATATTCAGTCGTTCTGTTGGTTACGGAATTTTTGTATAATATGTGAACGAATTTAGGGTTTTTCTAGTAGGTCAGCGTGATTTTGATGATTGGTTGACCTTGAAATGGGATTGAAGGGCTTATAAATGCCCTATTTCTATCGATTTAAAGTCTTTTTTTGGTTTTACGGTGAACTTCTAGGTGTGTTGTTTGTTTTTTTTTTAATTATTCTGATTATAATAAGTACCATAATGTTGTAGTTGACTGCCTCGTTGGCCGAGTGGTCGCAATTGCTACTGTCGGGCAACAGGTCTGGGGTTCCCCGGGTCGGGCAAAATATTACTGTGTAATTCTCAGTAGTAGCACGGAGTCTGGAAATGTGCCCGGTATATGGCAATAGGCTCACCCCCTATTACATGGGACTCATAACATACCTCTAAATAGTGAAAAGTGGGTGTCACATTGTACAGTGGTATAATGTGCACCTCTGCCTACTCCTTCGAGGATAAAAGGCTTGATGTTATGTTATGTTATGTGTAATGTTGTAGTTAATATTGAGTCCCAATTTTCCTTTGTAATATTGGTTTAATTTGCCAAAAAAGGTTCTTATGAAAAAAAAAAATTAAAAAATTCAACAAGAATTAATTCCCATTAAATTCCCAAATTCAAGCTTATTATACTAAATTATTGCTAAAAACTAATGATAACATCGCTCTCACGTCGAGTGGTTTTTAATCATGTAGTTTGGAAAAATTTTAAAATGGATTTGGTTAAAAAATAACACGAGACGAAAAAAATCAATTACAGATTTATCCATTAAAATTAAAAGCAATAAAATTATGCTAAACTTGGAATCTTACAATCGTATTTGGGTATTTTCGTAACTCAAAAATATGTAAATTAGGTATTTCGAGTTTTCAATCCAAAAAAATATTCAAAAACAATCATTTTTCATTCATTGATTTGACGATCTACTACATTCTAGATTTTTTATAGCGTTCTCAGAAATAAGTATCAATGCTTATTTACCACAAACATATGATGAAAATCCATAGAAAAATCCCTATTTGACGTTTCGATAAAAATGCCTTGCGTTGTGCTTCGTCGTTTGTTACCGTAGGCCCGTAGGCCCAATTACCCCAGTCTCCCCAATCCCCGAATCCTCCACAATCCTCAAATCCCCAATTCCCAAATGGCCAGTAACGCACTTGTAACGCCTTGGTGATTCAGGTGTCCATGGGCGGCGCCGATTGCTTACCATCAGGTGATCCGTCTGCTCGTTTACTGGCTTATGCCATAAAAAAACCTAAGTATTGAATTTCTATTAAGTATAAATTTTGTGAGGCATGCCAAATTTATAAAGCCGAAAAATATAATTAATGTTTAGTTGTAAAATACCGTATTGCACGTGTTATCCTTGGAATGTGGACAGGTAAGACTTAGGTTTTTTAGGTAAACTATATTTAACAGTGAATATATTACTATTATTTTTCAATATACCTATGACATTTAAAAAAATCTCCTATTATTAACCTGTATTTTGAGTATTTCGATTTATTTTCATACTTCACTTGAACGCACAGGGCCTATGCGCGTGAGTTTGGAATTAAGTATACTAAACGCGTGCGCCGATTTAAATATTCATGTTTCTTTTACTTTTTTTTTATACAATGTTTAGATTTTTTATTTTATTTGTTTACTTTATCGATTTTGTTTATTTTGAAACAGTCTGTTGATATCACAGTAGAATACAGTTGTCATTGCCGCTCCTGGCGCTACTCTTCTCATGGTTCTCTTAAACATCATCTGATGACTACACCAGGAACTGAATAACCGAAAAATTAACATACCTTTAAATTCCGGTATGACGTCATACCGATAAATGAAAGGTACCGCTTTATTTTTGGGTATCAAAATATGAACATCGGTATGTTTTGGCATCAGTACCTTAACATCACTACATAGTATAAAACAGTCGCTATCCGCCGTCTGTCTGTCCCTATGTATGCTTAGATCTTTAAAACTACGCAATGTATGTTGATGCGGTTTCCTTTAATAGATAGAGTGATTATTAAGGAAGGTTTATATGTATAATACATGTACACTCATATATAATGCACACATACACATAACACACATATATAATACATGTATATTGTACCCGTGCGAAGCCGGGGCGGGTCGCTAGTTAATAATAAAGGTATGAAAGAGATATTTACTACGTTCGTTCATGTATCCTATTTCTCTCTCCTCATTGATTCACAGACTCGCATTTACCGGTTACCACAGCTTCACATCCACGGAAATATTAAAAAAGATGTTATATCTATATCCGCACAACACTCCTCGCACCTCTCGCTTTACATTCCACAACGCGACGGTCAAATCAAAGTTTTTCAGTATCGATATTGCATAAAGGTTTAAATAACGGTGTAAAAAACAAAACAATCCCAATAAAGTCGAACCCTTGCTAGTTGCACTCGATAAACGAGGCAGTTAACAACAAAGAAGAAGAAATAATATATTCATAGTTCCCCAGTAACTAAGTGTGATCAAATCTTTCGCCTACTCATTTAAAGAACCAGTTTTTTTATCAAAATAGTCGACATTCGACAGATCTCCATATACTATGCTTAAACTAAATTGAATAACGTTATGTAATATAATGATTGTTTTTTTATGGGATAAGTCAGTAAACGAGCAGACGGATCACCCGATGGTAAGCAATCGGCGTCGCCCATGAACACTTGGAGTAACAGAGGCGTTACAAGAGGGTTACCAGCCTTTTGGGGATTAGGAATTTGAGGATTGTTGGGGATTCAGGGATTGGGGAAATTAGGGAAGGGGGGACAGAAGAAGAGATTGGGATCATAATTTTTATCTGTGACTATTCCATCGTTTAGAAAAGGCCTTTGCTCACTCAGCGAATTCAAACTTGGGTAGTATAATTGGAAATGTATAAGTCTAAGTTGTCTCACAATGCATGTTCATCTTGTGTGTCTGGTGTCAACAATGTCGTGGTGGCCCGGAAGTTTAAGACGCCCGCTTTTCATGCATGAGGGTGCGGGTTCGAAACCTACCAACGGCAAGTACCAATGAGACTTTTTCCGAGTTATATGTACTTTCTAAGATTATTGAGATACCACTGACAAACGGTGAAGGAAAACATCGTAAGGAAACCTGTGCTTATAATTTCTAATTATACGTTTGAAATCGCCAACCCAGATTGAGCAAGCGTGGTGATTAATGCTCAAACCTTCTTCGTGTGAGAAGAGGCTTTGCTCAGCAGTGGGCATTATAGGCTGTTGATGTGATATTCATCTTCACCCAATGTAAGTGCATGATGTCTATATAATCTAATCGAATGCAGAGTTAATTCTTTGTGAAGCCGTCTGGAGACGGTACGACGTACGCCAATGGGAAGAATATACCCGTATTCTTCCTATTGGCGTCTCGGTGCATGGGGTTACAATAACCGAGTAAGGAACTACGCATTTGGCAAAGTCCGGGAAGCAATGCTTTGTTAAATCTCCGACTAGCTTGATACAAAATGGCAAAAGACTTTAAATTGATCTTCTAGACGGCCACTAAAACTATTTCATCATCTTTCGCTCCTATTCGTCAGCTCGTTTACTTCTTATTCAATATAAAAATACCTCATACGTGAATATCTCGTGAAAAGTGTGGGTTACACTTATATTTAGCCATACATTTCTTTGTGTCTGGCTGACAAAATCTTGCGATTGGCTTACGAAATCTCATGTCAGGTCGGAACATGTTGGCTAGATGGTGAATGACTCTCAAATGTCTGGATCGAATTGAGCTTTTAAATTTCATAGAGCTAATGTCGAAATTCAATCTCAATTTAACACGTTAAACGCCATGGCAGTCACCGGTGACCGACATTAGCGGAGGATTTGCCTTCAACAGTTTTTTATTGGCAGCCAATGCCTTAAAGAATGAAAAGAAGACTCAAGAGTTCCCTTATCTTCTAATTTTTATATTTAATTTTAAAACTGGAAATTCGTTAGGCATGCCATTTTTTCTATTATTTTTATTTACTATTTATGCATTTCTAGTTTCTCAACACCGCAGGTGCGATGCTCATATATGTAAAGTGTATTTTTATTCGTATTGTAGGTACTTCTAAATAGCTAGATCGATATAGATAAAATTTTTGATAATCTATAGACTTGCACTGGATCTTGATTAGTTAGTTTTGTTTATTTATAGTTATCGGACTACCGGTACCGTTAACGACTGCTTTGCAAAAGAGATGGGGTTCTATCTCCAAATTCGAAATAGTATTATCTATCTGTTTCCCAATTGCAAACCAATTCCGTGTTATTACTGAGAATTATGTGAACCGAAATAGTGAATTAATTGTTGACCCGACCAGGGAATCCAATACAAACCTCTATCGCTCTAACAGCTAAACTCGGCGGCTAACGGAGCAGATATATCCTAAAAGCAATCATCTGTACAACCATTGACGAGCATTTTATTATGCTAGCTTACCTGGTGTCTATCTTTCTTTTTCCAGGAGAACCAAAGGTGTGATAGGTCCAGTGCAGGACCAGGGTCTATGTGGAGCGTGCTGGGCGTTCAGCACTGTCGGTACCATCGAAGCCATGGCCGCCATCAAGACAGGCAAGCTGGACAAACTTAGTGTGCAAGTATGTTTTCATTAAAAAAACTATTTCAATTTTCAATATTTTCTCGTCTTGAACTTCCATAGATAAGATTATTTTTATTAACGTTTGATTAACATTACGTTTAAAATACCGACTTCAACCTCCTTTCTTAAGTCTGTAACTAATAAAGTCGGTGAGTTGGTCGGCCTACCTGCTCTTAAGTGTAACAAACATCCACCACAGGTGGGACCCAACAGGGCTGATGCCCGATACGGAGCCGCGGAAGGCCTAACGGGTAACGGCTCGAACAGCAAGAGTAGGAACGGGGTGGTTTTTGGTCAGTAAGACTCTGACTCACGCAGCCTAACCAAAGGCGAGAGAAGTCATTGGATGATTTTCCTCCTCAAAAAAGTGTAACAAACACTTTTCTGTAAAGCGCATCAAATTCGGTTCAGCCGATCGCGAGATAATAGCGGACAAACATGCATACATACAAGAGAAACTGAGAACTTCCTTCTTCTTTTTGAAGTCGGTTAATAAAATTAAACCAAATGAATGGTCAGCTACCGATTTCCAAATCAGACAGGAAGCCATAAAATTATTGTCTATGTAGTAACAAGCCCATAAATCGACATTGAATGTCATCTTAAATAATTTTATGGGATTTATTGTTATCAGATAGCTAAGGGAACATACCATGTCATGTAATTATTATAATAAAAATTCTTGTACACACAAACGGCACGCACAGAGGACAACACTTTTATAAAATTCAAGGACATAGGTGCTACTTATTCCTGTTAGAATTCTTCCAGTAGATCTGAGACAGGAAAAGTAATTTAAACAATGTATAATATTGGTATTTAGTAATAGAGGGTGAGCCTATTGCCATACAGTCACAGCTCCAGACTCCGTTCTATTGCTATGCATTTTTTTTTAAAACCGAAGGAACCTGATGACCTGATAATAAATTGTCCGCTTTTGTAATCGAACCCGTCAACCTTGATCGCTTAAGAACGGTGGACTTCTTACGGCCAGTCTACCATCGATACAGTGTGACGAAATATGCTTATTTAAATAGGTGACATTCATGAAAACATTTCCAAAAATTACAGGAGGTAATAGACTGCGCAGGTTTGGGTAACAGTGGGTGCGCAGGCGGCGATATCTGCCTGCTCCTTGATTGGCTGGTGATGACTGACGCTGTGGTTGAGAAGGAAGCGGAGTATCCTCTCCGTCTCACTGACGGAGCTTGCAAAGCTAAGAAAAATACCACCGGAGTCAAAGTCAAGACATTTACGTGTGATGAGTGAGTTTGAACCTTGTTTCTTGAACTGTAGAATTCTAATTAGATTGGTGTTTTTGTCAAAAACAGCTAATGAAATAGCGTTATTAATTTTATGTCTTGGTTTTGAAATGTAAATCTTTTTGAGTCTTCCTTTTTACATAACATAACATCACGCCTTTTATCCCCGAAGGGGTAGGCAGAGGTGCACATTATACCACTGTACAATGTAACACTCACTTTTCACTATTTATGTTACTCACCTCACCCCCTATTGCCATATACTGGGTACAATTCCAGACTCGGTGCTACTACTGAAAATTTTTTTAAAAACCCTGTAATACTTTGCCCGACCCGGGAATCGAACCCGAGACCCCTTGCCGGCAGTCGCACTTGCGACCACTCGGCAATATTGGTATTTACTGTTCTGTTGATAAAATTATATTAGTGTGATTAAACTGTCAAATACCAAGCGGTCACCGGTGACCGCAACCTATTGTTCTATAATTGTGTCTACAAAACCGGTACTCGACGAGTTAAGTAAGATTAAATCATCTAACTGAGTACGACTACAGATCGAGTAACTTTAAAACGATACTAGCGCCACTAGTCACGCAAATAACCTTTGAAAAGATCCCCTTTTGTGAATTATTACCAAAATATTTCCAGCTTCGTGGGTGCCGAAGACCAGATTCTAAGCGCGCTGGCGACGCATGGACCGGTCACGGTGGCTGTCAATGCTCTCACCTGGCAACACTACCTCGGCGGAGTCATACAGTTCCATTGCGGGTATGTTCTATAATAATAATAAATATTTATATGACATCCATCTTAGGATGCTAGCGTTAGGTGGATGGATCAAGGGTCTGATACAGAAGGCAGTTCTCCTAGAAACGGCACGTATCGTGAGGAGGTTTCTGTCTCTGGAGCCCTAACCACCGGTAGCTTGAACCATGCTCCCGCTATAGGTCGGCTCCTATTTTTTATATTTTTAAATATTATTTATTATTTTATAAGTAGTATTTAAAAATGTAATTTGTAGAGAATTTTAAATAAATATATGTAAATAAAGAGTCGTGGTGGCCCGGAGGTTTAAGACGCCCACTTCTTATGCATGAGAGTGCGGGTTCGAAACCTACCAACGGCAAGTACCAATGTGACTTTTTCCGAGTTATATGTACTTTCTAAGATTATTTAGACACCACTGACAAACGGTGAAGGAAAAACATCGTGAGGAAACCTGGACTTATAATTTCTAATTATAAGTTTGAAATCGCCAACCCGCATTGAGCAAGCGTGGTGATTAACGCTCTAACCTTCTCCGTGTGAGAAGAGGCTTTGCTCAGCAGTGGGCATTTATAGGCTGTTGATGATGATGTAAATAAATATTTAATTTGCATAGGCATAATCAGGTAGCCAAGATTATCCATCAGCAACTTGCTTTGCCCTATCGACTTGTTGAGTCTGATTGAGGTACCGTACTACAAGTATGTGCTAGACTCAGTTCTGGAAAATGACCGTATCACATTGTACTGGGATCGGTCTATCATCACTGACAGGACATGTAGCCAATAAACCTGACATAGTGGTGATAGACCGACAAGTACGCCTCACGATGTTAATCGATGTAGCCATTCCCCATGACGATAACATCGTGAAAGCTGAGATAGTACTTTTGAAATCAAAAATTATACTTTACTAAAAAGCCAAAATTTCTATTTCAGCGGCTCACCGATGGAACTGAATCACGCAGTTGAATTAGTTGGCTACGATTTATCAGCCGATGTTCCCTTCTACATAGCCAAAAACTCGTGGGGCAAAGATTTTGGCAATGCCGGGTACTTGAATCTGGCTATTGGCACTAATATCTGTGGACTGGCAAACGAAGTGGCCACCGTGGACGTGGTCTAAACAGTGAGATGTTTTTGAGACATTTTTTGTGTAGTTAGATAGTAATTTTGATAGTCAAATGTGTATAAAGTTTTAGCCTAATGTTAATTGTGGTCTTTGTAGGGTGTAAATGGTATGCTCCCAAAATGTTAGCAAAAAGAATTTTTTTTTACAATTCATAGGTCTTAGTACGAGTTTGTTTTACGCTTAAAGTAATCGTAACGAGTACGCGTTCGGCGCTCTGATTGGTTGGTTCATTGGCGCTGGCCAATCAGAGTGCCGAACGCATACTCGTTTCGAATACTTTAAACGTAAATCAAACTCGTACTAAGGCCTCAGTACTTTAGCTAGCTAGTCAAATTCAATACTTTTTTTCGAACTGTCAACAACGACAGTTTTCTATGAATTTTGTACGATATCGTGTATTGTGACGTCACGTTTTTTTAGCGGCCAACAGCATACTTATTTCTTAAAAATTTGCTGGTAAAATATTAAAATTAATTTGGTAATGAAAGCAATTAATGATAGTGTATATTTTTTAAATATTTTATTGTACTGAACAGTCGAATTAAAAGGCCGGGGCCGCACTTGTGACTCCTCTGGTGTTGCGGGTGTCCATGGGCGGCGTTGATCGCTTACCATCAGGTAATCCGACTGCTGATTTGCTTCCTATTCCATAAAAAAAAATGATTAAGGAAAGTATCTAATTTTAA